AGGGATGGTGGCTTATCGTTGGTGATACTGAAAGTAAACAGGTGGTTGCCATCAGAAGGAGAGAAGGAGTATGTTATGTATCTCATGTGCAACTCATATATTGGTTGTGATCTGTAATATAGGTACCTTGTTGATGTCAAATAAGCTGGGTCTCCCAATTATGAGAGTGAACAAGAATGAATGAGTTTGATACATAAAAAATAGTGTAATTAGAAAAAGGCAGATTTTTGCATCCAATTGTAAATCATCAACGGACCAATAAAACTCAAGATGCAAATCAGATTTTCCTTTTCAGTCCGTCGACGGTGGAGGCGCCGCCACCCCCTTTATCCCCAAACCCACAATCAGGCAACAGATATCAATAGAAAGAGAATGGAGGCAGCGCCACCACACCACCGCCACCGATTCTTCTGCCTTCAATTCCCCAAACCATCACCCACGCCCTCGAATTTTCTCATCACTGGCAGAAGTTTGTTCAGATCTTGGCGGCGTTGGTCTTGGCTTAGGGATGATCTCCGCAACCTCTCATCCAGCCGTAGTTCTCGTCGTCTCCGTCAACGGCGGCGTTGGTCTAGGTATGGCGACGACGATTCACTGTTACAAAACAGATACATCTCCGGCAGCACAAACCACGTCTTTTTTCTTCTTCCCCGACCAGCCCTCCGCCTTCTATACTGCCGCTTACCACCACCAATTTCATACCCATGGTCGCCACTATTTCCTATGTCATCTCATTGCCGCCATCCTCGCCGTCGTCCTCATAATTAGATTTCACGATTGCCTCCGCCGTCTTCTTCATCGTCTAGCTCGTCCTTCGCCCCCGCCTCCCTGAGTTTACGGTCGCCTCCGCCACCGTCTCCCCCATCAATGCCACAGCCCGAGTTCACGGTCGTCTCCGAGCTTATCGTCTTTTATGACCGTATATTTTATAAAATTGTTATATATTTGTATAATAAACTATGTCATTTTACAATTTAGCAATAACCTGTGTATAAAAATGGTTTATAATCAAATTGTTTAATATTTAAAATTGTTATACATTTGTATAATAAATTGTGTCATATATATAAACAAATTGTATAATAATTATTGTCCTTTTTGGTCTTTTTACAAAATTTTATATTTTTATATATTTTATAAAATTGTTGACTAAGGGAATTTTAGTTAAATTTGGTTTTAAATGTATCAGAAGGACTTGATTGCACCAAATTGAAACTTGAGGGTGTTTTTTGCACAGAAAAAGTGTGATATGCACTATATACATACTTGAAGAGTATTTTTTGCACTTCACCCAAATATGAATCTACAACATTAGATTTTGACATAAGAAAGAAAGAACTTCAATTTCTTCTACTTCGAATAAATTTGATAAATGCTTATATGAATCTAATACAAAATTAGTATGTTTGGATTAAATTTATTTGCGTGTGTCATGATAATTGGATTAATCTACTTAAATTATAAAGTTTTGATTGTTCTAGTTTCAGGACTGGACTCGTTTGTCCAATTTGACTTATTTTAATTAATTGTGTCAAATCACACTATTTTCAATTTTTATACTAACATGTAATCATTTCAAAATTAGTATGGTGTTGGTGAAACCTTTATGTGTTTTTGTTTTTTTTCCTGGGCTTGTATGCCTTTTTTTTTTTTTTTTTTTTAAATAAAAAATAAAAAATAGAAGTCATTCCATAAATTTTTTGTTTTATATATTTATTTATTTGTATTTGAATGAATTCTATATATAAGAAAAATATATATAGAAATAGAAATCTCTAGGAAAAAAAATAATAATAATTACTGTAGTCGGGTTGCTCATTGTGATTCTTCATGAATCATGATGACCAAGGACTAACCTGTTCCGCGCGCCGCCGCCCGGGGGGACCCTTAATTAAATTACGGCATTTTTAGTCCAAATGATACTATATTTACTAACCCATAAAAATTTGTTAAATCTTTATTGTAGTGGATAAAATTCTGAAAGGTAGATGAGATCCAAATGAGCTTTGAATTATTTGATGTATTAAAATCTTAAAATACTTTCCCAACTTAGAAAAAACTATGAAATCTTCCAAACTTTAAACTGTAGCAAATAAAGATTGATGATAAAAGAGGGAAATCGAAAGAGCAAAGCTTAATGGTAATTGTTATATTATAAATTTTAGCCCCAAAAAGTAAAGTGAAAGTTTTAGCTGGATGAGAAATCCACGTAATTGTTATTTTGAAAGTTTTAGTTCAAAAGATACCATATCTATTAGTTAATTAATTAAATTTGGTAAATTAATTATGGAATGGTAAGTTGGTGATGTAACACTATAACAACTGTGGATTAAATACTTAGAGATGTTAGGAAAATTTTTTCCTCAGACAGAATCCGCTCCCCAATATTTCAGTGTTCCCCCGACTTCCTAAAGTTATAGATCCACACTGCATGATGTTAAAAGAATATATTTAAAGCTATATGCTATAATGCATAAGTTCATACCTAATAAATACGTTTTATTTGCTAATTATTTTTTCCTGTTAAGGGAGCTCAACTGATCAGTGAAAATGGGTTTAAATCCATGATTTCATTAAATGTGCTGTAAAAATTATTAACAGTGAAAACTACAATTTAATTATAAAATACTACGTATATAAAATCACTAACTTTTCATTATGTTTGAATAAATTACATATTAGTAGAGTTTTTGACTTTTATTACTTTAACTATGTTAAAGTGAAATATCTTTCATAAGCTTATCTAATTTAATAATGGTTTAATAAAAAAAAATCTGTCAAACCAAAAGTCTCTATTACCCACTTGTCTATTTTTTCTCCCATTTTGTAAACACTATATTACTCTACCTATATATATATATATATATATATATATTTGTTTTTTTGTTAGAAAAAAAAAAACCTAACCAAACCCTAAAAAAAAACCTAATCAAATGTGAGTTAAAAAAAAAAAATTATTTTTGTAAAATTTAATAATATAAAATTGGTAAGAAAATTAATAATTTTAATGATTATTTTATGATATTTTTGTCATTTCATGTCAAAATATAAATTATTAAGGTATTTTATGGCAAGGAAAAGGTAACTTCATTTTTTTCAATTTTCTTTGATGGAATGAGATGTCGTTGAACACAAACACCAAATCTCAGAGAAGGTCAAAGTGATAAAAATCAAATGTTTTACTCGTGTATAATTCGCCCAAATCTAAAAAAAGATTAGTATAATTTATCCTAATATAATGTGTAGTTATTTTCTTTTTTCTTGACAAGTATGCAGTCACTGTTCAATAATCACAGAATTATTGATGGTCCACTGAATTGTAAAATAGTATTATTTATTAGAAGTGGTTCCCTATAGAATGCTTAGCATGTCTCGTTCCTCGATCTTTAGTAGTCCATATGAAAAATCTTTGGAAGGACACAAATAACAAATGAAAAATCAATTTTGTTTTCCTCTGAATATGATTATATCAGTATTTGCTTTATTTAATGGGATTTAGTGTGATAATGGATATGCAATGGATATAGATGCAATTTAAAAATGCAGATGCATTGCAGCCGATCTTAAAAAAAACCAGGGACCAAATGATGGGCAGTCATGTGGTGTCAATATCCTAACAATTACTACCATATGCCATGCCTTTGCATGTCCAATCCCAACTTGTCTTTTTTTTTGGTTTAATTAATATTCTTTTATTTTATTTTTTCTTCCAGAAAGAGCACTTGTTTTGTCCTACTTATCACCTATCACGGTCCAACACATGTCATGATGTTGCTAGTTGCAAATTGTCATGTGGGGTTTGGTTTTTTTGGTCGGAAAGATCATTTACAATGATGCCTGGTCTCTTCAAAAAGAATAGTGTTTAATTCTCACCGATCCTACTTTTGTTTTTGTTTGAAGTTGAAGAGATTATTGCAGCAACAACATTGGATACAAATACCATGCTTCAATTCAGACAAAGGGTCCCTTCCTGCTCCCTTCTTCGTTTAAGAAAGAACTCTCTAATACATGTACTCATGCCTTGATTTCAAAATATTTCTATTTAATCTCTCTTTATCTTATTTATAATTTCTTGGAATGTGTTTTGTTAGGGTGAAGTAGAAAAAATTGCTATCTCTGACGTAGTCGGTGTAATCCTTGTTGTCATGTCTACAATGTAAGATCATCTCCATCAATCTGTTAAAATTTTCTCTTGTGTAAAATATACAGATGTGTAATTTTTTTATTTTTTTATCTCCAATAGTCTGTTAAGATACACTTATCTTAACACGTTACTAATGTGTAAAATTGTTGTGTATTTTACACAACCTTTTTACACAATTATATCAACATATTTCCTTTCCCATTCTCATTCTATTAACTAATCAACCATATATTAGGTAGGTTTGTAAAATTTTTATAATTATATAAAAAATATAAAACAATCGTTGGAATTAAAAATAAATAATTTAAAATTTTTGTGTAAATTTATTATGACTTACACAAAAATATATATATATATATACACACACACACTCAGAGATGCTCTAATATAGCAACATATTTATTACCTTACCTGGACTAAAAAAGACAATGATTAGAAGACTCAACCTAAGTTAAAATTAATAGATTTACTTGACAATAATTACCAAATAAGTAAAAGTTTGAACTCGACAAAAGTTAAACATTTATTACTATACCTCGACTCAAATTTAGTCAATCTCCTATCATAGCCAGTTATTTAAAACAACAAATTTAAAATTGAAAATGGTATTTAAGTGTTGATAATTGCAGTAGACTCAACCTAGAATGCTGAAAGAGAGTTTATAGAACACAAGTGACTACTATTCAAACATTAGCCGTCTAATTTACGGAGTAGAATATATTTTTTGTTTGCTCTGTCATAGTCCACATCTGTTGGGTCCCATTTTCTAATGGTCTGCTGTAGAGTCACCATCAGTCGAAGAGGTAATTACCAATTTGCGCAGAATTTCGGGTGTTAAAGAATAAATTAACATTATATAACACACTTCACTTCCCATTGTCTGTTTGAGAAAATATATATATAAATATATATATTTGACAGGTAGAGGATTATAATTCTATACCAAATTGCGCAGAATTTCAGGTGTTAAGAATGAAAAAAAAAAAAAAAAAAGAGAGAGAGAGAGAGCTGGGTAGAAAGACGCAGAGAAAATTTAGCACTGATGGTATTCGTATTTGGGCATGGGACAACGAAGCCCATGTAAATATTCAGCCCATTTATTAGTCCCACCTCAAACAAGTTAGGGCCTAGACATCTATAAGATGGACCAAGTAGGTCTGCAGACTGCAGCCCAAACAAAAAGCAAAGTTCACACTCCTCCATTTCACACGAGCATTTTTGACCAAAGATCAATCTGAAAGGATGCTTCAGTAATTTCACATTCCCACCTGCAACTACAAATTTCATCTTTCCCGCCCAAACACCCCTATAACACGTTTTCAGATCTCCCTTTCACTTCCTCTACAAGTGAACGAAACTGTCCGAACTCGGATCTTTATAGTCTCTCTCTCTACTTCTTACTCTGTACAATCGAAAATGCCCTAGTTCGAAGTCTTTAGATCTCTCCATCTCTCTTCTTTCTCTATCTAGAATTGAATCTAATTTTCACCAAATTTGCTACTAACCCTAAGAACTTGTAGGTCTAAACGACCATGCCTGACTTGGGAAATCTGCTCAACTTACCTTCTTTAACACTCTCTAATTGCCCTAACCTTAAATCGGTCTCTGATCAATGCGATTCGAGTAGTTCCTTGTACCCGTACCCTAACTTAGTTAAAACCCTAGGTATAGATGAGAATGGGTGTTGCGATTCGAACCAGGGGCTGCGATCTCCGGATGTGCCCAAAGGGGAAACTTGTGATAGAAATGGAATTAGGGTTTTTAGGCGACGTAGAGGGTTGTTGGAGCGGGGCAAGAAGTTTACTGGAATGAAGAGTTTGGATGGTTATGTGAAGGCTTGGGTTGAGAAGAAGGTCGAGTTGGGAACTCCATCACAGAAATGTTTCCTTCCCTTCCTAGTCGGCGCACCAAAACTGGTAAATATTGATTCGTCTAAATCCCTATTGAATAATTTCAGATTTTATTGTTCAGATTTTATTGCTTTCGCATTTTCAAATTAAAGATGTGTAAATGGGGACATATCTTTGAGGAAGGTGCATTTCAAGTTTGGTTGATATATGAAAGAATATCAGGATTGGGTTTTTCATATACACGTCTTACCTTAAATGGAGTAATGCTCAATGTGAGAAATTGGAATTTCGTTCATGTTTAAGGCATTTTCATATATGGTATACCAAGCTGCTATTGAAACTCCATCTACAAATGGATAAGACTTTTGTCTTAGCGTATAATAAATAATAATATATGAGTTGTCTGTAAAAATCTAAAAGAATAGTTCTGACGGGCCAGGTGAAAAATTATTGTTGTTTAAATCGGAAATTTGGTTAGTAACTGTGAAACCACAGAACGATGAAATTGTACCATTGTAATTGTAACTCAGACATTTTTTTACACTGTCCTTGGTTCTATTCTTTCTGTTTAAGTTAGTTATGGTAATTATTACACATCAAATTACTTAGTATTTGTGCAAGCATTTGGATAATGAATTTGACATTCAAAAAGTTTCATGGCCAATTATTACCTTTTTACTATTTATGCAGGCCAAATTATTTTATAATTATATAATCAATAGGCTAATCTATCTTCAAATATGCATTTATTGGGGAAGTTCAAAATATGATGGATTGCAGTGTGTGGATGTTCATTAATATTTCTAGACATTTCAGTTTTGGACTTCTTTGCATACAGCATTTATGAACTCAAGACATCAGCTTATGCATTCGTCACAAATTAGTTGAATTAATTGGTGACAAATTTATGCAAATATGAAGCCGTCTTCCCTATAACTGCTAATTAGTTTATAAAAATGGTGTTTCACGTAAAGTGACTTTTCACTGACTTAACATGGAACATGGCATGAAAAGTACTTGAGATGGAAGAATGATATGTATACCAATTAATTCTTCATTTGTTTCATTGGTGGGTAGTAAATTAAATTAGTTTGTGTATTATTTTCTTTTTCTCAAAAGTTCACTCTTTCCCAAAAGTTTTGGTTTCAAGGCGAGACATACTAAAAAAACCGAGAAAATCTTCCATGTTTTTCATTAACATCACTTCTTTAAAATTACTATCATATTTGATGCTTTGATTGATAATTCATTTTTATGTATTATTTGAGCTAAAATTGCAGGGCTGACTTGTATATATATATTTTATAATTCATCTCAGATCGAATGTCGTGTATGTCAGAGTTTAATCTACCCTGGGGAGGAGGCCTTGTGCCGCGTTCGTGATTGTCAAGGAGTTTATCACTTAAAATGCGCAAGAGAAAAGCTTGGATTTTTTGCTTCAGGAAAATTCAAGTGCCCTCAACATGTAACCTTCTCTCTCTCTGGTTCTAGCTTTATTTATTCTTATTTCTTTTAGTGAATAAAGTTGTCTGTTAAGAGTATGGTCTAAAAGCTTATGTTCACGTGGCGTATACAAAGTGAAAACACAAAACACAACTATGATTGAAGGGAATAAAAACAAAGTAAAAAATGGTAATGATTCTCACTGCCATTTGACCGACATTGAAAGTACAAAGTTTTAATACCATTCAATTTAATTGAATATTTGTTTTACTTTTAGTTGCTTAATTATCTACATCCTTGTAATGTGTTAGGATTGTATTCTTCTATGCAGAGTTAAGATATATGTTGAGTTATACATGGGAAACATTGAAACAAGCTTGCTTCACGTCTATTTGGAGATGCTATTATTGAATTTTGTGCCTTGATATTTAGCAGACACTCTTATACAAATCGTCTTACAATTTACAATCTGCTGGTTTTGGTTGTTGAACATGTCTCTGTTTATGACTGGTCATTGAGCATACTCAGATGCAACCATTATTACTGTTGGATTCAGTAAAGATTCTCATTTTGTAATGACTTTTTAAACTGAGCAAAAGTTGAATTCTTTCTTGACAAATCATTTCATTTTCAAGCTATTCCTTTATTTGTTTTTCTTGATTTAAGGATTCTCAAGTAACTTACTGGCTTTTTGTTTTCCTAGTTGGTACTCACACCCCCTCCCCCCCTCAAGGAATTGTTTGCACCCAAGAGGATTCTAACCTTAGACCTAATGCTTCATGAGGCACCAGGGCCAAGTTCTTATCCACTTGAGCAAACCCCTTGGGCTTAAGTTACTGGCATTTAAAGCTCCTGAGAAATACTTATCTGATCTGAACTATGTAGAAAAGAAAGTAACTTAATCTGTTAGTTCTGGCTGGATCTCTTGCTACTTATATTCCTTCCCAATTCCTATTTGCTTATTGATTCTTCTTTTCTGAATATTATTTTTTCTGATACTATGTATGGCTTGCTGTACTTCCTTTTCTTGGTGGTTGTGATATTTCACTGTTATATTTTAAATGTTAATTTTTTTGTTCAAATAGCATGGTGTTGTGTTATTACTTGCTGTGTGGCTTCTGTATATGACTTCTTTCCTCGAACAGGAATGCTTCATATGCAAAAAAATACACCACTGGCGGTGTGCGCGATGCACAATAGCATCACACAATAAATGTGCAGCATTTCCAGAACACGTGATCCATTTAAGTAATAAAGCTGGACATGCTGTTTGTTGGAGGCATCCTTCTGATTGGCGGCTGGAGAAGGAGGTCAATTTCTTCCTTCTTTCATCAGCATGGCTTTCTTATTAATGTTTATAATTTTGAAATTTCTTCAGTCATTTTTAGTTTTACTAATTTTTACTTATTATTTATGGATATTGTCTTGTTGTCGTTGTTAAACATGGTTTTTCGAAGCTTTTTACTGGAAATAATTTCTCTTTGATTTAGGAATATGTTGTGAGAAAGGATGTTAAATGATGGGGAATAGAATTGGTGTCATTTAATCAAGTTCTTGAAATAATTTTGAGAGTTGATGTTTTATTTACTTTGTGCTATTTGAACGGGTTGCCTGCAGTTATTCCTATCAGATCTCTTCATTTGTTTCGGCATATTTTCTTTGTGGTGTCTCTATAACCTTCTTAATTTGACAATGATGTATTAAAGTACTATTAATGTCTGACCAATTGGATTATGGTACAGGATGAACTTATTTCATTGAGGTCTAGATAAAATGAACGAATTGCTTTTGAACATCTAATTTTTATTATTTCTTGTTGAGGTCTATTATTTCATTATTATTTTTTATTGATTAGGCTGGCTGACAGGACTGACATATCTTGTTGAATGAGCAGCATGCAGTTTCGATGAACAACATAGAGGTCAGAGCCTTTAACAGTAATAAATCATACACAATGCTTTACTTAAATTTTATGGAACTAGCATTCACTAATTCTTTTATTCATATATTTTTGTTCAATGTTCTGGATGCTATCATTCATTTTAGAGAGACTGAAGAAATATACTCATTCTATGCAAACTTAAGCTCAGATGTTTTATTTATTCACTCATCACAATACTGCACAGACTAACTTTTCACCCCTCAAATTTTAGGAAATTTTTGGTTGCTTGCCTCTGCCATACATTGAGGAGGAGTTCAAGATTGACTCAAGTTGGAAAGACATGATGGAGAATAAAGTGGAACCACCTCCATATGTGCACATAAGACGCAGTATCCTATGCGTTTTGTCTTTTAGTTTTAAATTATGTAGTTAAATATGTTCATTGCTTTCAATGATCAGATGATATACTAGCACTTAAGTTGTAAAGGTGGTGGTAATACATGTTCTTCTGTTTGTGGACGGGTTTATTTGCTTAAGAAGTTGCAAGTGTTGTACTTTACTATAACACTGCCTTAACTAAATTAGATGTGTACCTTGTCAAGAAAAAGCGTGATGATGATGATTTCGGCATTGGGTGCACGAATTGCAGTTCTATATGTTCTGAAGATTGCATGTGCAGGTATTATTTTTTTATATCGATCATCTAATTTTTTTTCCTTCGTTAAAATAAATAAGAAAAAATGACTGCTATCTGGTTTCTTGATGATTTTTACTTCTCGAACCATAAGCATTTCATACTTCGTCACTTGAAGATTACATGTGCAGGCATTATTTTTTTATATTGATCATCTAAATTTTTTTCCTTTGTTAAAATAAATAAGAAAAAATGACTGCTATCTGGTTTCTTGATAATTTTTACTTGTAAAACTATAAGCATTTCATACTTAGTCACTTGTGAATTCTAAGAGTAGTTGCAGCTTACAGGCTCCCTTGTAATAATTAAGTTTTATCCTCTGAAGATTCTGTCCAGTTAGCTTGCCAAATTTTGTTCTCTTATGGAACTAAATTCGAGAATGTCAGTACCTATTATTAGTTCCTTAATTGTGTCTTTCATTCTCAGGATTTCTTGTCTTCATTTGCATACTGTTACTCTTTAAAAAGTAGTGGAAACTTCAGAAGTCTCTTATTCTAACTTTTTATGTGTTAACAACCATCAGATTGTTTAACTATTACAAGTGGCATTCCCCTGAAATGCCTCTTCTCCCGTGTAATGTCTCTCATGTAATGAGAGGGAGTAAGATGGACGTTAATGAATGACAGATTATGTTTCAACTTATGTGTTCTTGATATTTTATCTGAAACGTTTATAATTCAATTGTCTGGTGTTGTAGGGTTCAATGTATAAGTTGTTCAAAGGCTTGTCGTTGCTCGGAAATGTGCACAAACAGACCGTTTCGAAAAGAGAAAAAGATCAAAATTGTGAAGGTGAAATTTTTTGCAGCAGAGGCTCTTTAATTTTTGTGTACTTTTGTGGGTTGTACAATCTAAGTTTTTCCTGAAATCAGTGGCCTGTCTTGATTTATGTTTTCTGTCAAATGTATTTTTATATTCCTTTCAGACTGAATTTTGTGGTTGGGGAGTAGAGGCAGCTGAATCGATTAAGAAAGGCGATTTTGTCATTGAGTATATTGGGGAAGGTAGTTTGCCATACTTATATTTTAAAATGTATTGGAACTTACTATAATTGTATCCTTTTACCATCTAATGAGGCTACTGTTCTTTTAGTTTCTATGCATTTTGTTGCTTGGTTATTTATGCATTGCTGCAGATACCTGTGTTATTGGTTTTTGATAGTCAGTTCATGTCTTTTTGGTTTGTGTAAGATTAATCTGTTCTTTTGTGTGCCTATGTTGATGAAAATGTTAGTTGATGGATATTTTTATTTTTCAAGGCTTCCTAATTTAGGGTGCATTTAGTAAAATTTTTGTTTTTTGTTTTTGCAGTCTCTAGAAAGTAGAAACATGATGTTGCTTTTCTGAATGAAAGTAGAAAGCAGAAATGACGTTTATTTACCACAATTTTGAAAGTAGAAAACAATGAGAGTGTTTAGTAACATATACACAATAGTTTTGAAATTTTTTTATTTCTGTAGTAGTACCAGAAAGCTTTAAAACATGGACAATGTATGCAATTCAATTATTTCACAAGTATTAAAAATAACTAATTCATGATAATAAAATACAATATTCAATTTAAATTCAACAAATCCTAAAAGTACTTAATACATGAGTACAAAAATAATTTACGCTATTATATAATATTGTATATATTAAAAAATATATTTTTTAAATAAAAAATGATTAAACTATTACATAATATATTTAATTTATATTTTTTATTACATTTTAATATGTGTTTTGAATCTTGCTTTCGAAGCATTATTCACCACTATTATTATACCAAAGAATTAGTGTTGCTGTTGTCATTAATTTTATCTTGCCTTTCATGGGCTTGACGGCTGCTCTATAGCAAATTCCTAAAGAAGTGCTCCCTCCGTCCCATAAAAAGTGGACCTTTCCATTTGTGGCTGTCCCAAAATAATTGTCCCAATTCAAAGTCCAATGTATATTTTTTTAATATTTCTAATTTACCCTCCTTGCCTTGAAGTTATATAAGCACGTGAACCCACCATAGAAGGGTATATTTGGAAATTCATTCCCTACCACTATGATAAAAAAAAAAATTTAAAAACTACACTCTTAAAAAGTTAGATTCCCAAAAAGGGACATTTTTTGTGGGCAGATGGAGTATTATTTTCTTTCTTTCTTTTTTAATTTTTTATGATTAAGGGTATCCAAAACCAGGCTCTGGATGAACCAATCTATAGTATTGGTTCTTTTTTAACATTTGCTATTGTGTTTATTACTGGCATTGGTGCATAGTTAATCTATAACCATACTTGTGTTTCTATATTCTTGGCAAAGTAATGTGTAAGGTATCGATGAGTATAGGCTACAGAGTAGTTTCATCTTCTAAAGATTTTCTGTTAGTTAATATATTGAAAATCCTGGGAATGTGTTAAGCCTTCTTCAGCATCGCTGGATTTTTCTGTGAAGTCAGCATTGCCAATGCAATGCTCAGATTCACATTTTTTTTTTCCTACAATTTTGATTTGTATATATAACTTAAATATCTGGCATACTATGGTTCTCTTGACTTCTTATACTCGAGGGAGGTGAACTTTTCCTCTAAATGAAACGTCATTGTTATCACAGTTCATATTCTGTTTACTTTTTGTGCTTGTTGACTCTAATATATTGTAATTGCTTCTTTATGGTGCAGTTATTAATGATGCTTTGTGTGAACAAAGGCTGTGGGACATGAAATACAAAGGTGTTGAGAACTTTTACATGTGTGAAATTCGAAAAGACTTCACCATTGATGCAACTTTTAAAGGAAATTCTTCACGTTTTTTAAATCATAGCTGTGATCCTAACTGTAAACTGGAAAAATGGTTAGTACGATCAGCTTCTGTACTTCTGTTTCTTTATGTTCAGGAATTTTATTAAGTTGCAATTTCCTTCAAGAGCTGGAATTTGGTTTAATGTTACAAATGAATTCATATGATGGACCATGTTTACCATTGTCCATAAACTCCTTTATCCATTGTTTTTCAAATTAGACTATTTAGTGTTCTTCTTTAGACATGGTGGGGCTATAGAATTTCTCCAACAACCAGATGTCATGATTTTCAATTCATAGTTTTAATCCCTGTTGAACTAAAGTGGGAAGTTGTTACAATGGCAAATTTTAGCACCTCTTTTTCTTTCATTCAAGAATTTTAAGAAGTTGCAGTTCATTTTTTGACCCATATATTATCAATTTATCAACGAATGTTATGTATTTGGTGTTCACAATTTATCAATTTAGACTGTTCGCTGTTCTTTATGGCTGGAGGCTTCTAGTATAGGTCTAACATTTTATTTATTTTATTTTTGTTTCCTTTTTGGTACCAGTACACATAGGCTGGCTTCCCCCAGCCCCCATGCATGTCCCTTGTAGGGTTTGATCCCTACCATCTTCCATGGAACTTTTATTAGATATATGTATTATTGCTGTTCTTTGAGAATGCACTACATCTGCTTCTTTTGTATCCTCAATTTTATTTTTTCAGGCTAGTGCTAGACTAAGTCATCCTTTGGAAATTAGAATGGTCTTTGAGATATGGAAGTCCTTCCAAAGCGGGGTAGGTCTGGTCCATTTACGTTCTCATTATAGTTGTAAGTTTGGATTAAATCGTCTTCTGGAAGGGTTATGGTCTTTTGCTTTCAGTGCGCTTAGTTTCATAATACTGCCAGGATGCCTGGATGAGTGATTCCAAAATTTTAGGGTCACTAGGAAACTTAACCCCTGTTTGCTAAATTTTGGAATGAGGAATTATCGTTCTGTTCAATCATATCTAATTTGTTGCGCACACATCTGTACGGGGTTTTGAATCAATTTGTTGGTGGACCAGTTGTTAGTTAGAGTTGAACTGCTTTGGAATTTGGAGTTTTTTTTTCGTAACTTGCATTTCACCACATGGATTCTGGGAATAGATTATTGTTTTACTGCGTATGCTTTCAATATATATATTTAAGCAATGGACGTGCTTGCATTCAGATTTTCTTGGCAACAATTTGTATGGAGTCTTGTGCATGTAGCTGAAATAGGCTTGAGTGACTGCTGATGATAGCCGAATTCAGTTGCTTTGGATTTCATTCATTCTGATTTTTTCCTTTTTATTGTTTTTATTTATTTTATGTTTTTCAAAAAGGCAAGTTGAGGGGGAGACACGTGTTGGCGTCTTTGCTGCTAGATCTATTAAAGTTGGAGAACCATTAACATACGATTATCGGTATGTTGAATATGATTTGAAGCTTTCCCTTACATTTTCTTGTTTCTATGTTTTTATCAGCTGTTAGCTTGCATGGTACTACTGCGGTCCACAATCATACGTTTATTTATTGGATTATCTACCCAGGAAATAAAAGAAGAGAATAACTAATATGAATCAAATATAAATTGTCGTTGAATTATTTATTTGGACTATCCACTGATTACATGAATCAATAAATTTTGTTTATAAAATACCTCGGGGTTTATTTGAAAACAGAAGCGGAAAGAAAAAGAGAATAACTAATGAGAGAAGTAATAGATTGAGTGGATAATGCTAACCTTGCTTGTATTTTGAAAAGAAAAAATAGTGTGAACCCTCCATTGTGTTTGAAATATACAACAAAGAAATAACTAATAAGAGAGATTCAAGTCCAGCAAAAAGAATATGGGCAAGGAGAGATAGACAGCAAAGTGAGCCAACCGATTAAATGTAACAATCTGAGATGAGGTTTCCTAATACATACTTTGGTGAGAAATTAGGAGTGTTGCCTATTAGTGAGAAAATTCGAGAAAGTAGCCTTAGGTGACATGGTCAAGTAAATTTATCAATCTGAGATGAGGTTTATTAAGACATACTTACGTGAGAAATTAGGAGTGTCGCCTACTAGTGAGAAAATTGGAGAAAGTAGACAAGGGTGGCACGGACATATTTAATGTAGACATGCAGATATGCTAATTGGAAAAGGAAGAGTGGCTTGGTTAGATGGTTATAGACAGCGAGGATGACAAAAATTAACATGGAATGAAGTAATAATAAATGATTTTAAAAATTTAAATCTAATAGGTGAAATAGCTCATGATAGAAAAGAATGGAAACGGGGAATTGATGTGGGCGATCTCGTTCATATGGGATAAATGTGAGGATGATGATTTATTCTGGAGGTATGATTGGCAGAGTTAAATTGCACACTTGCACTCCTGCCCAAATCCCTCCTTTTCTTTAAACACTTCCCCTTTTGTGCCAAGGTTTGCTAGGATTGTTAGACATCTTGTACTTCTCTTCTATGGGAACATCACAGGTCTACCTTACTAGTGCTTTTGCTGCCTTTTTGGTAAGCTGAGGTAAGGATTTATGTCACCCATGATGGTGACGGAAACATATTTTTCATATTGCTTTGCTGCATCTAATTGCTTACACTAGCTGGAGAGAGGAATCCCTCCCTAAAATCTGCATTTGGGGTTTGCCAATACGTCAGATTTAGGCTTGCCAGGGACTCCAAGATATGGTCCTGGTTTCCTTTTTCATCAACTTCTGAATTATCTGACTAAAGTAGGGTTTTCCTTTGATGTACCAATCTGATCCTCTAGTTTAATGTCCTAGTCTTTGCAACAGTTTAGAGAAACGATATTTGAAGCTTTTAAAGTAACTAGTAACAGCTTACTGTGGTTTATAGAGGCTAGCTGTAATCAGTGAGAAGTGTCAAAAGCTTTTAACTGGCCTGCAAGAAAATTTTCATCATTCCAAACTCTATTTGCCCTTCATCTGTAGTTAATGAACCACACACATTGATCTATTTAACATGGATTGCTTTTCAGTACTATTTAAATGTTGAATATATCTTCCCCCTAACCCTCATGTTTCCCATTTATAATTTTCCTATTAAGGTTCTGGGCTTGGTCAAAGTTAATTTTCTCATGCCAACTGTTTTTTTTGTATTTGTTAATACTTTTGTTCAGCAAAATAAGTGCAAGGAGAAATGAGTTTAAGACAAACCATTTTGGAATTTTTTAGTTGGAGTTATCAAACATGAATGAGAAATGTATGTTTAGATGGAGGCTAAGAGTTATGCGATCTTTGACTTTTTAGATTTGTGCAATTCGGGCCTGAGGTTAGGTGCCATTGCGGTGCTACAAATTGTCAAGGTTATCTTGGGACCAAGAGAAAGATTGGTAAGGTGGAACTCTGCTGGGGTTCAAAACGTAAGAGAACAACCACTGCTTCATTAGCAACAGTGATGTATATTACTCCAATAGGAAGATACAATAAAGAGAAATGAAGAAAGAGAATACAATCTCATTGGGCTTTTGTTGTATTAATTCTCATTATACTGATTTACAACATTCATCAAAGATGTAATTTTCATTAAATATTTTGTTGTATAAGAATGCGAGTGAGTTTATACTGGGTGTTGGGTTTTGTTTTAAAGCTTTTTTAGCATATATGAAGGGATGGCGAGCTTTACTATTTTGTAACGCTTGATGTACTTACGGTATAGCTTGGCCATTGAAGCTAACTCTCTGTCCTCAAATCTATAATTGGTTTTTTTTTTTTTTTTTTTTTTTGCTTCAGGTAAGTGTCATCTTGAAGCATTCTAGACGTTAAAACTCATAATGCTGCTTTCATATATCTTATTTGTTATATACTGTTGTTTTCTGTTATTTCTGGGAATTGTTAGTCTCCAAAATTGTTTGAAACTTGAATTTCGGGGAAAAAAAAATGGTTGAAACAGTTTGTATGTTACAGTGTGGTTAGTTACTATGCATTACAGTTGCAGTATGGATGTAAAATTCATCGTCGTGGTATTTGAAAATACACGTTTCAGAACACAATTATCATATCAACGCTAATTAGTAACATGTTAATTTAGTATGTTAGAAATGTATATTTTAAAATATACGATAGGATCCTTAGTATTTAATGTTTTAAATTAATCATCCATGTATGAGATATTTTATTTTTATGGAATTGGCTTGATTACGTGGTGGTTCATCAGTTGAATTCTAGTAAATTTAGTAACGTGAGTGTTTGTTTTTTAAAAGGGTAAAGCAAATATATTGATAGAAGGAAGAATATACACTGGAATGGCCCAATAGGACGTTAGGCCCAAACAAACATAAAAGAAGAAGCCTATAGACATTGTCCAACCCAAATACGAGTTAGGTCCAAAATAAAGTCCAACACTTCCCTACACGAGGTCCAAAATATGAGCATTGGTCTGGATCCGGAACCAGATGAACACCAAGGACTGGGAAGGTCTCAATCTTGCATCACTCTGAGAGCTGCCATTGAGCATTTTCACTTCACACTCGACAATTTTTAGCACCGCAATGGCACCTAACCATTAACATCACAGAGTTCATGACCTGGTTTGCTGAGAGGTAGACTTTTTTATTTTTTATTTTTTTGGGTAAATAAATTCATTGAACACAAAAGAAGTGTACAAAAAGGAGGACAGCAGCACAAAAAGGCAACAGCCCAATGAGCACAACCAACAGAAACATCCTCAGCAGTTTACAGAGCTACTGAGAAGCAAAAATTACACGTAAACAGTGGTTGGGAGGGCCAAGCAGCTGCAATATCTCTAGCCTCTCTACTCTGTGAAAGCTTAAAAGATAACAATCTGCAGCGAACAGATGAGTGCAGGCACTCTCAGGATTAGCAAAGCAGAGGGAGCAATAGTTGGGGGTACGTATGCTGTGCATTTTACCACTGAATTTATGCAATAAATACTTGCATAATTTGCAAAGCGAAACCCAACAATTCTTTCTTCTTGTCTTTCTAGTGATGAGATGACCAAGCAATAACCTCATTCCAACTCAAAGGTATGATGATGTGAAATCCGCATTTGAGCTGGATAAACTTCCACATGGGATTTGAAATTTCACACTCAAAAAACACGTGAGAATGTGTTTCCTAGCTCTAATGATAAGCATGATGAACAGAAGTTAGGCCAATGGTAGTGAACCATAGACTTGGTTGCCTTGCATTTGTAACTTCTCTTGTAATGCAAGCCAAAGGATGAAGTTATGACTCGGGATGCAGTGATTAAACAAAGAAATTGTTAGGATTCATGCCTTCAGGGGATTCGGATTTGCCCGGTGAAAGAAGCATAGGCCATGTTAATTAAATGAATCAACAGTGATGCTATCTGCCAATTAGTGTGGCATGTTAATTATGATCAATTGTTTTCTATAGCTTGAACAACTTTAGGACCGGCTCAATTATGATAACGAGTCTAGCTAGAACAACCCAATTCGAAATTAGTATATTTTGTGCTGGTTGTTATATATCTATAATTAGGGCATGCAATACGTACAGTGTGTAAATTCTTATGATAATTTATGGTTTCTCTATAAATTAACTTGAAACTGTAGTCTATCTGTCTAGTCCTTTTCGTACTCCAAATATTCCAAATTACTTGTCAGATCAAAATGGCTGTCCATTCTCTTCTCTTTCATATCACTTGTTGGTTTCACAAACTTTCTTCACTAAACAGAAAATTTGAGAAGAGTCATTCAGCCAAAGTATAAGAATGTGAATATCCAGTTTCTTTTTTCATTATTAGATCTAAGAGTATACAACGTATTAGACTTGTTTAATACAGTCACATTTGGTCGGCTACAAATACGAAACATTAATACCTGGTAATTACAAATTAATTAAACAACAACAACAAAAAAATGCTCATCATTTTATCACTAGCTAGTTCCTATCTAGCCTTGAGAAAACTTTTGCAAATCCTTCCCCAGCACTTCCTATCCGGTTCAGCTAGCAGTATTTTTGATTTCACGTCTTCGGCAAAAGTTTTCTGTAATGAATTATCAATTAACCAAAAATTAGGATATATGAAGGAAAAAAAAAACCCAAAATAATTGAATGAATAAGAAACTAATTAAATTGAATTACCTCTATAGAGTTGTTATTTAGAAGACGCTGAATGATATTGTTAAGGATGTCTTTGGTGTACTCTGGATGGCCTTGAATCCCTAAGATGTGTTCTCCAATTGTGAACATCTCCACACCCGTTTTCTCTGAACAAGCCATCACTTTAGCTCCCACAGGAACTTGCCACACCTGTTCCATCCATTTAATATTGTTGGAAATTACTTAATTTGTTGATCTTCAACGTGTATATATATATATGTCTTTGATTAATAATACGTAGATATGTAATTGTACACAATGCATGTATAAAAAACAGAGATCGAGAGAGAGAGCGATACCTCGTCTTGGTGGCACTCAATGATTGAAAGGGCCGGCAGATTTTCATCCAAACCATCAAGAAAGCTGCATGGGGAGTCGTCTTTCATTATCTTCACTTTTCTTAGCCCAAGATCCCAACCACTATAAGATTTTCCTACTTTTCCACCCAATGCTCTGCACAGAACCTGTATAACAATCCATAAAAAAAAATTTACATTATTAAATATTTAAGTATTCACTACCAACAACCGTTGAACCTTAACTAAGTACCTTCATATATATATATATATATATAAGTTAATAATTACCTGGTGACCGAAGCAAATTCCAAGAAGTTTCTTGTTCATTGAGTCTAGGGTTTGCAAGAGAAAGCAAAGTTTGAGAATCCAGGCTTCATTGCCATAAGCATCGAAAGGGCTTCCACTGATGACGAAACCATCATAATTGTGAAGATCATTCATGTCTGGAAATTCTCCTTCAACAACCCTAAACAAGTCCCATCTTTCTCCTTCTTCACCAAAAGCTGCTACAAACACATTGAAGTAGCCACCATACGTCTCCTTCACGTACTCGGAATCATTTGCCGCTAGTAACAGCCCATACCTTTTCTCTGCTGTTTGATTAACCTTCATCTTCCTTAGCTAGCTAGGTACCCAAGAGATCAGGGAAGAAAAAAAGAAAAAGTATTGCTCGATGGAAACTAAACTATTACTGCGAGAGAGATATGCAGAGAGAGAAACAAGAGAGCTAGATATGTAGAGAGAGAGAGAATGGTTGAGTTTGGAAATGTTAGAGGAGGAATAGCTTTAATTTATAGGAGGAGCAAAAACAAATAGGTTGGTCACCAGATAGTACGCTTAACGCGGCAGTTGCTTTCCAAATTTTAAAATAACATATTTACTGAAAAAATAAAATAATGTGTAAATATATATATATATATATATACACATATGTATATACAGACGGAGGAGATAAAAGGGAGTTTCTGTAGCCATGTGAAAAACAAAGACACGGTTTCTTATGGGTTGTAAAACAACCGCGACCCTTTCAAGCACCTGAATAATACAATGCATGTTGAAATAAATAAATAAATAAAAAATGGCTTACTTTTGAAGCACCTGAACGCATGTCTACTTTTTCTCTCGCCTCTCTAACCCTCAGCCGCCTCCCCTTAATTTTCTCTCTTATGCTCTCCACTCCCTCCAATAGGAGTAAGAAGGTGCTGATCCTTGCCTCCGGACGTGGTGTAATAAGTTCGTTCAGCGGGTGAGTTTCACGATGTTTTGCTATTGTTTTGTTAGATTTGTTCTTATTTATCTTGTTTTTGGCTCTACATGATGGATTTGTTGTTTTGTCTCCGGCTAAATCTCTGATCTATATCGGGTTTTGGTGTTCCCGTCTTTTTGTGCGGGGTTTGGGTGATTTTCTCCTAGTTGGCGGCGCCTTGTAAATGTAGCCTTGATGATGACCTGACCTTTGGATTATTTTCGTTGCTGCTCTTCTCCCTGGATAGTCCGCTGGTGTATTTTGTCTTATTTTTCAACAAATCGAAGGTTTGTTCTTCAGTTTTTCTTCTTTTATTACTTCTTGATTTGTTTGCCTTTATATGGTGTTTATGATTGTGTTTGTAAATATTTTATGGCTGTTTTCCTTGCTAGGATTAAAAAAAAAAAAAAAAAAAAATGCATGTTTACTGTTTCCTAATTTATAGTAGCACGTTCTGTAAGTTTACTCAATATCATTTGGTGATTCATACATAAGAATAAAATATAGGATGGTGACTTGAATCATATATATTTGGTAGAATAGAATTGTTCTACTACTGACTTGATATTGGACGCGCTAGACCCTTCATTTATTCCTTAGCTAGGTACCCAAGATATATCAGAGAACAAAAAAAAATTAAAAAGTACTAGTCGAAACTTAAAGTATTATAACTGCAAGAGAGAGAATGGTTGAATTTGGAACGTTAAAGGAGGAATGGCTTTATTTATAGGAGGAGCAAAGACAAATGGGTAGGTCACCAGAAATTTTAACGCGGCAATGCTTCCAAATATTTAAAAAGAAAACTTTTGAAATGTTGCTTTCCAAATATTAAAATAACATATCTGTCTAAAAAATAAATAAAATAACGTGCAGAACCTATTCACATATATATATTTATTTATTTATGCGGAGGAGAGAGATCGCTTCTGTAGCCATGTGAAAAACAAACACACGCTTTCTTTTGGCTGTAAAACAATCGCACCACCTGAATAAATTAAAAATGCATGGTAAAAATTATAATAATAATAAAAATTCACCTTAACAATGCATGGCTACTGTTCTTAATTTAAAGTAAATAAATATTTTTTTGGATTAAGTCCAAAAATCCCCATAAACTATTGCCCTTTTGCAAATAACCTCCTTGAACTAAAAATCGCCCCCCTAAACTATTAATTTATTGTAATTAAGGACAAATTTATCACAAAAATCTATTTTACCATTTCTTATTAAAATTTTCATTTCTTATTAAATTATTTTTATTATCTTTTCTCTTATTAAAATATTAATTTTACTAT